AAGCCTTGGTAAATTCAAAAAAACTGAAATCATTCCAAGCATCTTTTCTGACCACAATGCAGTAAGATTAGATGTCAATTACAGGAGAAAAACTATTAAAAATTCCAACATATAGAGGGTGAACAACAAAAAAAAACACAGAAGAAATCAAAATATTCACAGAAATGAATGAAAATGAAAACACAACAACCCAAAACTTATGGGACACTGTAAAAGCAGGGCTAAGGGGAAGGTTCATAGCAATAGAGGCATACCTCAAGAAACAAGAAAAAAGCCAAATAAATAACCTAACTCTACACCTAAAGAAACTTGAAAAGGAAGAAATTATGAACCCCAGGGTTAGTAGAAAGAAAGAAATCTTAAAGATTATGGAAGAAATAAATGCAAAAGAAACAAAAGAGACCATAGCAAATATTAACAAAACCAAAAGCTGGTTCTTTGAGAAGGTAAATAAAACTGACAAGCCATTAGCCAGACTCATCAAGAAACAAAGGGAGAAAACTCAAACCAACAAAATTAGAAATGAAAATGGGGAGATCACAACAGACAACACAGAAATACAAAGGATCATTAGAGACTATTATCAGCATCTATATGCAAATAAAATGGACAACTTGGAAGAAATGGACAAATTCTTAGAAAAGTACAACTTTCCAAAATTGAACCAGGAAGAAATAGAAAATCTCAATAGACTTATCACAAGCACGGAAATCGAAACTGTAATTGGAAATCTTCCAACAAACAAAAGCCTAGGACCAGACAGTTTCACAGCTGAATTCTACCAATAATTTAGAGAAGAGCTAACACCTATCCTAATCAAACTCTTCCAGAAAATTGCAGAGGAAGGTAAACTTCCAAACTCATTCTATGAGGCCACCATCACCTTACTACCAAAACCAGACAAAGATGCCACAAACAAAGAAAACTATAGGCCAATATCACTGATGAACATAGATGCAAAAATCCTTAACAAAATTCTAGCAAACAGAATCCAAATACATATTAAAAAGATCATACATCATGACCAAGTGGGCTTTATCCCAGGAATGCAAGGATTCTCCAGCATCTGCAAATCAATCAACCACATTAACAAGTTGAAAAATAAAAACCATATGATTATCTCAATAGATGCAGAGAAAGCCTTTGACAAAATTCAACATCCATTTATGATAATAAAAAAAAAAAACCCTCCAGAAAGCAGGAATACAAGGACCATACCTCAACATAATAAAAGCTATATATGACAAACCCTCAGCAAACATTATCCTCAATGGTGAAAAATTGAAAGCATTTCCCCTAAAGTCAGGAACAAGATAAGGGTGCCCACTCTCACCACTACTATTCAACATAGTTTTGGAAGTTTGGGCCACAGCAGAGCAGAAAAAGAAATAAAAGGAATCCATATTGGAAAAGAAGAAGTGAAACTCTCACTGTTTGTAGATGACATGATCTTCTACATAGAAAACCATAAAGGCTCCACCAGAAAATTACTAGAGCTAATCAATGAATATAATAAAGTTGCAGGATATAAAATTAACACACAGAAATTCCTTGCATTCCTATACACTAACAATGAGAAAACAGAAAGAGAAATTAAGGAAACAATTCTATTCACCATAGCAACAAAAAGAATAAAATACTTAAGAATAAATCTACCTAAAGAAACAAAAGAACTATATATAGAAAACTATAAAACACTGATGAAAGAAATCAAAGAGGACACAAATAGATGGAGAAATATACCGTGCTCATGGATCAGAAGAATCAATATAGTGAAAATGAGTATACTACCCAAAGCAATCTATAGATACAATGCAATCCCTATCAAGCTACCAATGGTATTTTCCAGAGAACTAGAACAAATAATTTCACAATTTGTATGGAAATACAAAAAATTCGAATAGCCAAAGCAACCTTGAGAAAGAAGAATGGAACTGGAGGAATCAACCTGCCCAACTTCAGTCTCTACTACAAAGCCACAGTCGTCAAGACAGTATGGTACTGGCACAAAGACAGAAATATAGATCAATGGGACAAAATAGAAAGCCCAGAGATAAATGCACAGACCTCTGGACATCTTATCTTTGACAAAGGAGGCAAGAATATACAATGGAGAAAAGACAGTCTCTTTAACAAGTGGTGCTGGGAAAACTGGTCAACCACTTGTAAAAGAATGAAACTAAAACACTTTCTAACACCATACACAAAAATAAACTCAAAATGGATTAAAGATCTAACTGTAAGACCAGAAACTATAAAACTCCTAGAGGAGAACATAGGCAAAACACTCTCTGGCATAAATCACAGTGGGATCCTCTATGACCCACCTCCCAGAATGCTGGAAATAAAAGCAAGAATAGACAAATGGGACCTAATTAAAATTAAAAGCTTCTGTGCAACAAAGGATACTATAAGCAAAGTGAGAAGACAACCTCAGAATGGGAGAAAATAGTAGCAAACAAAGCAACGGACAAAGAATTAATCTCAAAAATATACAAGCAACTCCTGCAGCTCAATTCCAGAAAAATAAAAGACCCAATCAAAAAGTGGGCCAAAGAACTAAACAGACATTTCTGCAAAGGAGACATACAAATGGCTAACAAACACATGAAAAGATGTTCAACACCACTCATTATCAGAGAAATGCAAATCAAAACCACAATGAGTTACCATTACATACCAGTCAGAATGGCTGCTATCCAAAAGTCTATAAGCAATAAGTGCTGGAGAGTGTGTGGAGGAAAGGGAACACACTTACACTGTTGGTGGGAATGCAAACTAGTACAGCCACTGTGGAGAACAGTGTGGAGATTCCTTAAAAAATTGGAAATAGAACTGCCATATGACCCAGCAATTCCACTGCTGGGCATACACACCGAGGAAACCAGAATGTTCATCGCAGCACTGTTTATAATAGCCAGGAAATGGAAGCAACCTAGATGCCCATCAGCAGACGAATGGATAAGGAAGCTATAGTACATATACACAATGCAATATTACTCAGCCATTAAAAAGAATACATTTGAATCAGTTCTAATGAGATTGATGAAACTGGAGCCTATAATACAGAATGAAGTAAGACAGAAAGAAAACCACCAATACAGTATACTAACGCATATATATGGAATTTAGAAAGATGGTAATGATAACCACCTATGTGAGACAGCAAGAGACACACAGATGTATTGAACAATCTTTTGTACTCTGTGGGAGAGCACGAGGGTGGGATGATATGGGAGAATGGCACTGAAACATGTAAATTATCATATGTGAAACGAATCGCCAGTCCAGGTTCGATGCATGATACAGGATGCTCAGGGCTGGTGCACTGGGATGACCCAAAGGGATGGGATGAGGAAGGAGTTGGGAGGGGGGGTTCAGGATGGGGAACACATGTACACCTATGGTGGATTCAAGTCAATGTATGGCAAAACCAATACAATATTGTAAAGTAAAATAAATAATTAAAAAAAAAAAAAAAGAACTGGACATGAAACAAACTGGTTCCAAATAGGGAAAGGGGTACATCAAGGCTGTATATTGTTACCCTGCTTGTTGGTCATTTAATGGACTGGAACCTCGTGGTCCGGAGTCAACGATGAGAAAGTGAAAGAAGGAAAGAGGCTAATATTCTCTGGGTTATGCAGCTGGCTTTCGTGGTCCAGGGAATCAGCCAGAAATAGAAGGATAAAAAGAAACAGGAAGAGAAAGAAAGAAAGAAAGACACAGGGACCAAAGCTCTGATGGAGCAAAGGTGTTTTAATCAACATGGTGTGGGCATATATACTCTCTTACAAGGTAGTTATTCTCAGCAAAGATAAAGATTAAAATTCCAGACTTACAAAACACAAGGTGATCCCTATTAAAGAGAGAAGAGGGTACTTATCACCATAATGAGAAACTAACAAAGGAAATGCCTGGATTCCTCAGCCCCAGGAAAGGCGTGCCTCTCCTCTTAATTCCTAAATATTCAGGAATTAATAAGGGCCAGAGGATTCCTGACACCTGCAGAGTACATCATGTGAAATGCCCGGCTGGATGAAGCAGAAGCTGGAATCAAGATTGCTAGGAGAAATATCAGTAACCTCAGATATGCAGATGAAACCACCCTTATGGCAGAAAGTGAAGAAAAAATAAAGAGCCTCTCAATGAAAGTGAAAGAAGAGAGGGGAAAAGTTGGCTTAGAACTCAACATTCAGAAAACTAAGATCATGGCATCCGGTCTGATCATTTCATGGCAAATAGATGGGGAAACAGTGGAAACAGTGATAGACTATTGTTGGTGGCTCCAAAATCACCGCAGGTCATGACTGTAGCCATGAAATTAAAAGTTTCCTGTTCCTTGTAAGAAAAGTTATGACCTAGACAGCATTTTAAAAAGCAGAGACATTACTTTGCCAACAAAGATCCGTCTAGTCAAAGCTATGGTTTTTCCAGTAGTCATGTATGGATGTAGAGAGGGACTATAAAGAAAGATGAGCACCAAAGAATTGACGCTTTTGAACTGTGGTGCTGGAGGAGATTCTTGAGAGTCCCTTGGATTGCAAGGAGATCCAACCAGTCCATCGTAAAGGAAATCAATCTTGAATACTCACTGGAAGGACTGATCCTGAAGTGAAGCTACAATCCTTTGGCCACCGAATGTGAAGAACTGCCTCATTGGAAAAGACCCTGATGCTGGGAAAGATTGAAGGTGGGAGGAGAAGGGGATGACAGAGGATGAGATGGTTGAATGGCATCACCGACTCAATGGACATGAGTAAGCTCTGGGAGTTGGTGATGGACAGGGAAGCTTGGCATGCTGCAGTCCATGGGGTCACAAAGATTAGGGCATGAATGAGTGACTAAACTGAGTGAACTGTGCACTTACCATGAATGAATTTTATGATAAATGATACCTCTATAAGGCTATTTTAAAATGCATTCATTGGTATATTGTCAAAATCAGCATAAGTGTAAAATATAATTTTAAAACATTTAAAATTTTTACTTCTAATTACCATTTCAGGACCACACATACTGCCATCTTCTACAAATGTTTCATCTCTGTCCTCAGGTGTTTGAACTGTGGTAAATGTATCTCTAGGTAACTTCTCAGCATTCAGAAATCCTGATGCACATATTTCATCTCTTATATGAGTATAGATCACAGATAAATTTGGTCGTGATACTAAAGTTTTATATGGCCAGGCACAAACTAATTTTCCACACATCGATTGACTAAAAGAATAAAGAAGAAAAAAAAAACTCTCTTATTTACAGAAATAAAGCAGATTGCTGATACAGCTAATTTTTTTAAATATTTTTATAAATTAAATCCAAGTTTCAAGTTTTCTGTAAGTAAACTTTAGGAGCATACTGATTCATGTATGATGTGGCTCTTTGTGTTTTGTGAGGAAATGTAGCAAGGGAAAAATAAACCATTTTTGCAATCTGACAGCCCTGATCTGTTCTATATTAGCTTCTGAAATTTTAGCAAGTGATTACTGGTGTTCTGTCTTTTTTCATTAGTAAAATGGGATAAATGATTCTAACTACAAACATTTGATGTATACAAATATATGTTTAAATACATAGTATAAATATAAGTATATATAAAGGACTTCACACAATGACTACCTCACCCCATCAATAGACGTGATTTTTATGGTCATTGATATAACATTACAGCTATTGAACACATGTTATCTGTAGGAAGTAGGTAATATTGTTCAGCTCAGATCATAAAACAGAGAAAACCTGTTATAAAATGGCATCTTAGTTTGTACATGTATTCCAGAATCTTAGCAATATACAAGCTACATTCCAAACAAAATTATAATTTTCTAAATACATACCTAAACTCACAAATTCCCCTGCCACAGTTTCCATATCTATCTGATCTTGCATTTATTTCATCATAACAAGCATATGGAGCACCTCTAGACCCTAAAAAAAAAAAAAAGAAATTGTACAGAAAAGGTTGATTGAATTATTATGACCCGAATAACCACGTTGGTATGATCACTCACTTAGAGCCAGATATCCTGTTGTGTGAAGTCAAGTGGGCCTTAGGAAGCATTACCACAAACAAAGCTAGTGGAGGTGATGGAATTCCAGCTGAACTATTTTAAATCTGAAAAAGATGATGCTGTGAAAGTGCTGTACTCAATATGCCAACAAATTTGGAAAACTCAGCAGTGGCCACAGGTCTGGAAAAGGTCAGTTTTCATTCCAATCCCAAAGAAGGGCAATGCCAATGAATGTTCAAACTACTGCACAATTGTTCTCATTTCACACACTAGCAAGGTATGCTCAAAATCCTTCAAACTAGGATTCAACAGTATGTGAACCAAGAACTTTCAGATGTACAAGCTGAATTTAGAAAAGGCAGAGGAACCAGAGATCAAATTGCCAACATCCACTGGATCATAATGAAAGCAAGAGAATTCCAAGAAAACATCTAGTTCTGCTTCACTGACTATGTTAAAGCCTTTCACTGTGTGGATCACAGCAAACTGTGGAAATTCTTAAAGAGATGGAAATACCAGACCACCTTACCTGCCTCCTGCAAAACCTGTATACAGGTCAAGAAACAATAGGTAGAACTGGACATGGAAGAACAGACAGGTTCCAAACTGAGAAAGGAGTACATCAAGGCTACATACTGTCACCCTGCTTATTTTAACTTAAATGCAGAGTACATCATGCGAAATGCCGGACTGGATGAAACAGAAGTTGGAATCAAGATTGAAGGGAGAAATATCAATAACCTCAGATATGCAGATGACACCACTCTAACAGCAGAAAGCAAAGAACTAAAGAGCCTTTTGATGAAAATGAAAGAGGAGAGTGAAAAAGCTGACTTAAAATTCAATATTCAAAAGCTAAGATTTTGGCACCTAGTCCCATCACTTCATGGTAAACAGATAGGAAAAAGCTGGCAATAGGGACAAACTTTATCTTCTTGGGCTCCAAAATCACTGTGGAGAGTGACTGCACTCATGAAATTAAAAGACACTTGATCCTTGGAAGAAAAGCTATGACAACCCTACACAACATATTAAAAAAAACAGAGACATCACGTTGCCAACAAAGGTCCATATGGTCAAAGCTATGGTTCTTCTAGTAATCATGTATGGATGTGAGAGCTGGACCATAAAGAAGGTTGAGTGCTGAAGAACTGATGCTTTTGAACTGTTGTTCTGGAGAAGACTCTTGAGAGTCCCTTGGAGAGCTAGGAGATCAAGCCAGTCAATCCTAAAGGAAATCAACCTTGAATATTCATTAGAAGGCCTGATGCTAAAGTTGAAGTGCCAATAGTTTGACCACCTGATGCAATGAGACAATTCACTGGAAAAGACTCTGATGCTGAGAAAGATTAAGGGCAAGAGGAGAAGGGGGCACAGAGGATGAAATGGTTGGAATGTATCCCTGACTCAATGGACATGAGTTTGAGCTAACTCCGTAATGAAGGACAGGGAAACTTGACGTGCTGCAGTCCATGGGGTTGCAAAGTGTCGGACACAACTGAGCAACTGAAAAAGAACAACAACATATACAAGGCAAATCTGAAGGAATTTTCAAGGCAGACGATGGGTGCCCATGGGAGTTTTTAGTAGTTTACACACCAACCTGAAGAGGGTGACCTAGGATGAAGAGTGCATTAAAAAGAATTGTCATAGGACCACACCATGAATTATCCTGTGTAAGGAAGCATTGCTAGCCTATTTGTTTCCTGGGGCTGCTGTAACAAAGCATCAAAAACTAGGTGGCATAAAATAACAGAAATTTGTTTTCTCACAGTTCTTGAGACTAAAGTCAGAAGCCAAGATGTCGGCAGGGCTGTCCTCTCTCTGAAGTCTCTAGAGGAGAATCCTTCCTTGTCTTTTCTAGCTTCTGGTGTTTACTGGCAATCCCTGGAATTCCTTGGCTTATTGATGTATCACTCCAGTCACCTGGTCATCTTCTCACTTTGTTTTTAGATTGCTTCCCCTGTGTGAATGCCCAAATTACCCCTTTTATAAGGGCACCAGTCATACTTTAGTAGCACCCACTCTAATGACCTCACTTTAACTGGATAGTCTCTGTACAGACTCCATTTACAAATAAACCCATATTTGAGCTACTGAGGATATTAGAACTTATTGAAATAAATTTCTAGGCCCAAGATGGAGCCATTCCTGGTGGGATGCCAGGTCAGCAAACCAAAACATAGATAACTTTCATGGACCTATAAATACTCCCCTTGGCCAGAAGCACAGTATGTCCAGCCAGCCAAACCCAACAGCCAAGAATCTGTAATGATTTCTTTGTTCTAAATAAGGTCTGATATGCAATTCCAGTCAATTAGTGGAAGTCAAATACTTTCCCCTTATTCCCTGATTGCCTTCTTTTATACAAGGTCACAGTCCTGTTTCCTTGTTTCATAGTTCTCTGGACTCCTGAGAGGGGAGACTGTCTGCTTCAAGAAGCAAAAAAATAAAACTTGCTTATATCAGTTAAATTGTACTCTTTGAGTATTTTAACAGACTTAACATATCATTTTGAGGGGGACACATTTCAACCCATAGCAGGAAGATTCTCATCAATCTTATTCCATGTACTTTAAGGTTTCATAGAGTTCATTCCAATATTGTCATCATTTTGTCTCTTTTCATTTTTCATTTTATACATTTTGTCTTTTACAGAATTTTCATGACTATTTTAATGAAAGCTTAGAAGAGTCATCCTGAAGCTGGTGTCCAAAGAGCATTTTGAACCATGTTGTTGGTCTGCTCTCTTGAATGTATTAATATATAGTGCATGTTGATTTGGCAGTTTCTCTTCACATTTTTAGGAAAATGTTTAGAGGAAAAATGGAAATCAGATAAAGTAGAAGTCAAACAATGAGCTGATGAGGTGGATTTGGATTGTGTCACTGTATAAGCTCAAACTTCTACATAAATCCCACATTCTTTTTATCTCCTAGGGGTTCTGCTTCTCTGATTGATGCAGCTGACAAAGGAAACAGCAGTTCAAGCTCTGAAAATCAGCATGAATTTTTTGTTTTTAGAACCAACCCATCAAAAAACTGAATCATGTATGATTCTGAAGGATAATTTGATATATCACAGAAAATAGATAAAGCATCAGAACTGATATGATCCAAAGCTGTGTTTCAGCCAGCTTTTTCTGGGCAGCTGTTTCTCTTCTGTATCTAACAGTCAGTGATCTGCTTCAACTGAGCCATTTGTCATTGACTATAAACCTGTTCTGCTTTTGTTGCAGACACCACGTAACAAAGTAATGATTAATAAATATTCAATTAGACAGAAAGACTGAAGAGACATTTTCCCAAAAGGGAAATGTGAATGGCCATCAAGCACATGAAAACATGTCAAAGAGAGAAATGCACATAAAACAACAATATCACCTGGTCAGAATGGCTATCACCAAAAAGAACATGAGTAAAACATACTGGAGAAAATGTGAATAAAGGAATCCTCATACACTGTTAGCAGGAATGTAAATTGGTGGAGCCACTGTGGAAAACAGTGTGAGTGTGTAAGTTGCTTCAGTTATATCCGACTCTGTGACCCCATGGACTGTAGCCCACCAGGCTCCTCTGTCCATGGGATTATCCTAGCAAGAATACTGGAGTGGGTTGTCATTTCCTCCTCCAGGGGATCTGAAGCTTTTTCTCAGAATCAAGAAAATTTTACTTCCTTTAACAGTAAAGGAGTTACTGGGTAAAGAAGTACACTGGGCCCATACGTAGTATGGGCTTCCCAGGTGGCGCTGGTGGTAAAGAACTTGCCTGCCAATGCAGGTAGACATAACAGACATGGGGTTTGATCCCTGAGTTGGGAAGATCCCCTCGAAGAGGGCATGACAACCCACTGCAGTGTTCTTGCCTGAGAATCCCATGCACAGAGGAGCCTAGCGGGTTATGGCCCATCAGTTCAGTTCGGTTCAGTCACTCAGTCGTGTCCAACTCTTTGTGACCCCATGAACTGCAGCACACAAGGCCTCCCTGTCCATCATCAACTCCCAGAGTTTACCCAAACTCATGTCCATTGAGTTGGTGATGCCATCTAACCATCTCATCCTCTGTTGTCCCCTCCTCCTCTTGCCTTCAATCCATATGGTCCAGGCTGCCAAGTCGCTTCAGTCGTGTCCAACTCTGTGCGACCCCACAGACGACACCCCACCAGGCTCCACCATCCCTGGGATTCTCCAGGCAAGAACACTGGAGTGGGTTGCCACTTCCCTCTCCAATGAATGAAAGTGAAAAGTGAAAGTCAAGTCTCTCAGTCATGTCCAACTCTTTGCAACCCCATGGACTGCAGCCCACCAGGCTCCTCTGTCCATGGGATTCTCCAGGCAAGAGTACTGGAGTGGGGTGCCATTGCCTTCTCCGATATGGTCCACAGGGTCACAAAAAGAGTCAGACTCGACTAAAGCAACTTAGCACACACATACATAATATGCACTTATTTTAAAATTACACTTACATCTTTTATAGCATTAAATAACACCATTTGGAATAATCAGAATTTAGAAACTACAAGGAAAACTGTGGTCATTACCTGCTCCAAGTACTCTGCTACACTGTCTGTTAACTGATCTACACCGTCCTTTATAACAGTAGGCGTCACCCGACTCACAAAGCTCTCCATCACGTGCGTAAGTGTCAGGCACACAGATTGATTGATTCCCATTACAAAATTCTTCAAAGTCACACTCATCAACTGCTTTCCTACAAAGTGTATTAAGTGGTTTTATCTGGAGGAAAACAGAAACATAAGAAAAAATTATACATCAATGATACCCAAGTTTTCTTTCTCTTCAGGCTTGAAATTTCCACCCCTTTTTCCCACAGTAGCTAAGAGCAATGAGCCAACTGTCTTCATGTTAACTATGTAAGGGCTGCACAGACATTTAGGTGGTTGAATTTACTGTTCATAAAGGAGTGGGTGTTGATCAAGTGAGATACGAGAAACTGAAAGGTAAGGAGACTACCATAATAATTAAAAAGTAAGAAAGTAGAGATAAGGAATGATTATAAAAATTACTTTCAATTCACTAAGAATATACTCAACATGAGCAACCTCCAGTTTCTCCATATGCCGTCCATAAGCAGAAAATAAGCAACCATTCACAAAATGATAAATATGCTTCATAAACATTTATAAAGAAGTTTGAAGGACACACAAGAGAAGGTTTGTTTTACATACCACATTGAAAACAGCTACAAAAAAATGACTTGCCCAATTATATATCTCTCATCTCTTCAGTGCTTACTATTAGCTCATAGCTTCAGGGTACCCTTTATGTATATCTACTTTTGCAAACAAATATCTAAATACCATCTCTGCAAAGTCTTTTACTCAGCCCAAGCCCCATTACCTCATGGAGATCATCAGTATCCTGCACGAACTAAGTCAAAATTTTTCCAGCTTCAAGGCCCTAGTTGTTGTTCAGTCACTCAGTCGTGTCCGATTCTTTGTGACTCCATCCGTAGACTGAAGCCCCAGCTTATATAACATTTACTGGCACACCTCACAAAGAGAGTTTCTGGATACTTCTCTTATTGTCAACAATTATCCACTACCTACAGCAAATCTGACACTAGTTCTCCAAGTGATGGGGGGGGGGGATAAAACACAGTACTTGTGTTGCCTAAGCTTATAGAGTTAACATTCAAATCAAAACCAATAATTAAAATTGTTTTTAAAAGAAAATATATATAAATATAATGAGAAGGTATTTTATTTGCTTTTTCAGAATGCAGACTTTTTTTTTACAAATGTGTATAAATGGCAATCTTCCTTTTATTCTAATTTCTTTTATCATTAAAACTTTATTGCATAGCTGTTTAAGAATCATGGAAAATATGAGGAGAAAGTACAGAGATTTTCCTTATAACCCCTGCTGCACACAACCAAGCACATGATGCGTTTGTTGCAGCTGACAACCTTACATTGACACATCATAATCACTCAAACTCCATGTATATTAGAGCTCTTTCCTGGTGTTTTACATTCTGGGTGGAGATAAGTGAGCACTTGCAGTGCCCTAACGTCCTTCATGCTCTTCCTATTCATCTCCTCCTCGGTGCCTGATAACTACTGATCGTCTCACTGTCTCTAGAATTTTCCTTTTCCATAATGTCATATAGTTGGAATCATACAGTACATAGCTTTATTAGAGGGGCTTATTTCACCCAACTTCTTCAGTATTTAAATACCCAGTTCCTCAAAAGTTATTTGAACCAAGCTTTATCACTGTACTTGCTTCCTTCATTAAAGTGGGTTTATTTTTCTTTCCATGGCTCTCTTAATTACCAAATAACCTTAATTTTTTGAACCTTCTGACTTCTTGTTTCACATCATTCTCTCCTAAAATATTTTTATTTTGCTTTTCTTCTCGTTCTACATATACTTTTATTCTTGCCAAGACTGTCAGTCTGTACATAAAATGTATAATCTGGGTACAGGGGTGTGTCCCTTTATACAACTGAACCCGGGATGCATGGGTTAAATTTATTGTTTCTGACCATTACACCAGCCTTGATGCATAGTAAAAAAAAAAAAAAATTACTGTATCAGAAAAATCACAGCCTGGGCTATATCCCTTTCCATAATTGGACCCAGAGACTAATTGAGTCATAAACACTGCCCCAGTCTCACCAGCCGTTGTTCAGGTATCCCTGTGGGCATGTGAATCTGGTTTCTGAGGCAGAAAATGTACTCCCTTTGGGCACAATAACGACTCTACATCACTATACTATCTGTTGTCAACAACTTGATTAATTTTTCAAGTTACCATCAATAGAATAATTAATACTATACTATGATCAATAATGGAAAAGGAGAGGAGAGAGGTATTAGCAGAGTGGGAAAATAGGTGATTTTCAGACTGTATGTACCATGGATAAGAACACCTTTGTGGGACCCATGGAACCCCCCAAAAAATTTCCAGTCCCCTGGAGAGTAAAAATATCTGCGAGTCGATGCACTGAAGCGGGTAAGAACAGTTGCACTTCCCCCACATCACCTCTTACCCAAGGTGGCCTGTGATATCTCCGACAGGGGAAAGGAAAAGCGATGTGAGAGCCGGGTTTCCCCAGCCTTGTGAGACACTGGCCATGAAGCCCACTTTTATCCTGCCCCACCCAGCACACTGAGGGAACTGGCACAGTTGAATAGTCTGGAGACACCTTGCTTCCAAGGTTTCTTGATATCCCAGGCAAGAATACTGGAGTGAACTGCCATTTCCTTCTCCCAACCCAGGGATCGAAGCCATGTCTCCTGCATTGGCAAGCAGATTCTTTACCACTGAGCCACCAGGGAAGGCCCTGGAGACACCGAGGAATCAGGGAAAGGGATGGGAGCTCACAGCAACAGTGTGTGGAGCCCGACAACCAGCATCCTAATAACTGGCTCACGGGCTCTTGCCAACAGGATGCCTCGTCTGAGGACACTCGCACCCATCTACAGCCAGAACCCACTCTCCAGCAGACGGCGCACGTGAGTCCCTGACAGCTTGGTGCACGCGGATGTCAGCAGCTGCCTGGAACCTCCTCAACCAGAGAAGGTGCGCAACTTTGAACACTTCAAGGCACTACCTTGGGGGAAATAAATGGGAGGCTTTCCACAGTCATACTGGCTTTGCAAGATTGAGAGAAAGCATACAATCCTAATCTTTCCCACTGTGAGGGAATGAGAGGAATGGAGTAAACACACCCACAGGAAAGGTCTGAGAGACGCTCTGAACTCTAGCTGGGCTGACTGGTGCCTGACTTCTTTGTCTTCCAAGGCCAGCTGGTTAACACAGGAGGAAATGGGGACTTCTTCAGATGCAAAGACAGCAATGCCAAGACTTGAAGGAACATAAAGAATCAAGGAAACAAGATATCACCAAAGAAACAAAATAAATCTCTGTGGAAGACACCCCAAAATGGAGATGTACAAACTGCCTGACAGAAAAATTAATCATCGTAAGTTCAATGACCTGTAGGAGAGAACAGACAGGCAAATAAATAAAATCTGGAAAATATTACATGGACAAAATGAGACATTGAACAAAGAGAGTTTTGTTGTTTTTGTTTTTTTAAGGAACAAGATAAATTCTGGATCTTAAGAGTAAAGTGAACTGACAATTTTCACACAAAAGCTGCAAGAGGGCAGTTGATCAAGCAGAAGAAACAATGAACTCATAGACAATCATCTGAAATTATTCAGTTGGAAGCACAAAGAAGAAAAAATAAAGAAACTCTACGGTATTTATGGAACATCATCGAAATAAACACCGTGTGCATATGGTAGTCCCAAAAGGAGCAAAGAGAAAGGGCAGAAAACTGACACAGAGGAAACAAATGTACCACAAGGGAAGTCACACAAGACTGTAAGACTACTGAACAGAAGCCTCGTACAACCAAGAGTGGGGGGATATTTTCAAATAAAACATTTGCCAGCTAAGAAAACTATATCTGGTAAAGCTGTCCTTTACAAATGAAGAAGAGATAACACTTTACCAGAAAAACAAATGCTGAGGAGGTTCACTGCCACTAGACCTCTCTCTCTGTCTCTCTCTCTCTCTCTCTCTCTCTCTCTCTCTCTCTCTGTGTCTCTCTCTCTCTCTCTCTCTCTCTCTCTCACACACACACACACACACAAAACACCCTCTGAAGAGAGTTAAGTCAAAACAAAAAGATGCCAGTTAGCTTCATGAAAACATTTAAGAGTATAAAAGCCATTGGCAAAAGTAAGCATTCAGTAAAGTTCAAATACTCCAGTACTATACATGATATGCACACATGCTCAGTTGCTTCAGCGTGTCCAACTCTTTGTGACTCCCATGGACTGTAGCCTGCAAGGCTCTTCTGTCCATGGGATTTTCCAAGCAAGCAAGAATACTGGAATGGGTTGCCATGCTCTCCTCCAGGGGATCCTCCTGACAGGGATCCAACCTATGTTTCCTGCACCTCCTGTGTTGAAAGCGGATTCTTTACCCACTGAGATACCTGGGAAGCCCTATATACATGATGTGGTGCTATGTTAATCACTTATAACTCTGGTATAAAAGTTAAAAAAGATAAAAGCATTAAAAATAACTAGACTGCAACAATTTGTTCAAGGATGCACTCTATTAAAAAATGTTATAACAGCATTAATAGCATGAGATGTGGGGGGAAAGAAGTAAAACCATAGAATTTTATATGACATTGAAGCTGTTATCTTAAATAGCCTATTATCACTATAAAATGTTTTTATAAGTCTTGTGATAATCACAAACAAAAAACTTTATTCAAAACACAAAATATAAAGAGAAGTGAAACAAAGCATACCTTCACACACACAAAACAATCTTCACAAAGTAAGACAGTAAAAGAGGAAAAATGGGACAAAAGAACTACAAAATGTACAAAAAGCAACACTGTGGCAATAGCAAATCCTTCCTTGTCAAACATCACTTTTTTTTTATTATGGGCAAGTGTTTATTTATTTTTAATATAAATTTATTTATTTTCATTGGAGGCTAATTACTTTACAATATTGTAGTTGTTTTGCCATATATTGACATGAATCTGTCACAGGTGTACATGTGTTCCCCCATCCTGAACCCCCTCCCACCTGCCTCCCCATCCCCTCCCTCTGGGTCATCCCAGTGCACCAGCCCCGAGCACCCTGGCTCATGCATCGAACCTGGACTGGTGATTTGTTTCACATATGAAAATACACACGTTTCAATGCCATTCTCCCAAATCATCCCACCCTCGCTGTTTCCCACAGAGTCCAAAAGACTGTTCTATACATCTGTGTCTCTTTTGCTGTTTGAAAGTAAATAAATATAATTATATTCAACAATCAAAAGCACAGAGTAGATGGATGAACTAAAAACAAGACAACTATATGCCGCCTACAAGAAACTCATTAAAGCCTTCAGGATACAAATACACAAAAAGCGAAAGGATGGAAATAAGTAGTCCATGAAAATGGCAAAGAGAGCAGGGAGGGCACACTTCAGTTCGGTCGCTCAGTCGTGTCCGACTCTCTGCGACCCCATGAACCGCAGCACACCAGGCCTCCCCTGTCTGTCACCAACTCCTGGAGTTCACCCAAACTCATGTCCATTGAGTCGGTGGTGCACACTATATCAGATAAAATGTCAGATAAAATCAGATAAAATATTGGAGGGCACACTAACTAATATCAGATAAAATAGACTTTAAGTCAAAAACTGTCACAAGAGACACAGAAGGTTATTATATAATGATAAAGAGATCAATTCATCAAGAGGATATAACAATTACAAATACATCTGCACCCAACCTTCAGTTCAGTTAAGTTTAGTTCAGTCACTCAGTCATGTCCGACTCTTTGTGACCCCATGAACTGCAGCATGCCAGGCCTCCCTGTCCATCACCAGCTCCCGGAGTCCACCCAAACCCATGTCCATCGAGTCGATGATGCCATCCAACCATCTATTTCATCCTCTGTCGTCCCCTTCTCCTCCTGCCCTCAATCTTTCCCAGCATCAGGGTCTTTTCAAATGAGTCAGCTCTTCGAATCAGGTGGCCAGTCAGCTCTTCGAATCAGCCTCAGCATCAGTCCTTCCAATGAACACCCAGGGCTGATCTCCTTTAGGATGGACTGGTTGGATCTCCTTGCAGTCCAAGGGACTCTCAAGAGTCTTCTCCAACACCACAGTTCAAAAGCATCAATTCTTCAGCCCTCAGCTTTCTTCACAGTCCAACTCCCACATCCATACATGACCACTGGAAAAACCATAGCCTTGACCAGACGGACCTTTGTTGGTAAAGTAATGTCTCCGCTTTTTAATATGCTATCTAGGTTGGTCATAACTTTCCTTATAAGGAGTAAGTGTCTTTTAATTTCATGGCTGCAGTCACCAGCTGCAGTGATTTTGGGGCCTAAAAAAATAAAGTCTAACACTGTTTCCACTGTTTTCCCATCTATTTCCCATGAGGTGATGGGACCAGATGCCATGATCTAAGTTTTCTGATTGTTGAGCTTTAAGCCAATTTTTTCACTCTCCTCTTTCACTTTCATCAAGAGGCTCTTTTGTTCTACTTCACTTTCTGCCATCAGGGTGGTGTCATCTGCATATCTAAGGTTATTGATATTTCTCCTGGCAATCTTGATTCCAGCTTGTGCTTCTTCCAGCCCAGCATTTCTCATGATGTACTCTGCCTATAAGTTAAATAAGTAGGCTGACAATATACAGCCTTGACGTACTCCGTTTCCTATTTGGAACCAGTCTGTTGTTCCATGTCCCGTTCTAACTGTTGCTTCCTGACCTGCATACAGGTTTCTCAAGAGGCAGGTCAGGTGGTATTCCCATCTGTTTCAGAATTTTCCACAGTTTATTGTGATTGACACAGTCAAAGGCTTTGGCATAGTCAATAAAGCAGAAATAGATGTTTTTCTGGAACACTCTTGCTTTTTCGATGATCCAGTGGATATTGGCAATTTGATCTCTGGTTCCTCTGCCTTTTCTAAAACCAGCTTGAACATCTGGAAGTTCTCAGTTCACATATTGCTGAAGCCTGGCTTGGAGAATTTTGAGCATTACTTTGTTAGTGTGTGAGATGAGTGCAATTGTGCAGTAGTGTGAGCATTCTTTGGGCGCCTTTCTTAGGGATTGGAATGAAAAATTACCTTTTCCAGTCCTGTGGCCACTGCTGAGTTTTCCAAATTTGTTGGCATATTGAGTGCAGCACTTTCACAGCATTACCTTTTAGGATTTGAAATAGCTCAACTGGAATTCCATTACATTCACTAGCTTTGTTCATAGTGATGCTTTCTAAGGCCCACTTGACTTCATATTCCAGGATGTCTGGCTCTAGGTGAGTGATCACACCATTGTGATTATCTGGGTCATGAAGATCTTTTTTGTACAGTTCTTCTGTGTATTCTTGCCACCTCTTCTTAATATCTTCTGCTTCTGTTAGGTTCATACCATTTCTGTCCTTTATCAAACCCATCTTTGCATGAGATGTTCCCTTGGTATCTCTAATTTTCTTGAAGAGATCTCTAGTCTTTCCCATTCTGTTGTTTTCCTCTACTTCTTTGCATTGATCGCTGAGGAAGGCTTTCTTATCTCTCCTTACTATTCTTTGGAACTCTGCATTCAAATGGGTGTATCTTTCCTTTTCTCCTTTGCTTTTTGCTTCTCTTCGTTTCATCATTTCACAATTCAAACTTACAGCAATTTGTTACATTGTATACCTTAAGTAATGTTACATGTTGATTATATCAATAAACCTGGGGGAAATTTTTTTTAAAGATAAGATCATGTTCCTCCTCCAATCTTAGGAATGCATGCCATTTACCCTGTTCAAGAGTTTATTTCTTTCTCCTTGGGATGCCAGTGGATTGTTCTTGGTGCTAGACAATTTTCATGGATTCATTAAATGCTTTTTTTTTTTTTTTAAAGGAATCGAATAGTTGTAACAGTATCTGAATGAATTCTGAAGGAACGGGGGTTTTTACCAGAATACAGTAAAGAGAAGTCAGCCAATTAAAAAAAAACTAATCTAACCTCCTGCACTCATGTGAAGTACAGTGATAGAAAATAAGAACTTAATAAGGTTGTACAAGATGTATGTTAACCACAGAGAAACCCCAGTGGGTACAAGAAGGATTTGTAACAAGGTAAATAAATGGAAAGTCAAATCAGGAAAGAAAAAAATCTGGCATTATGTACAGGAGAGTCCTAGATTACAGAGTACACTGAAGGGTAATGGGGCTCCAATGCTGCTTGGACAAAATATGATAGGAAGGACTAAATATAGTATTGACATGTTTTCCATCTCCTTGAAACAACTATCTCAAGAAATTTAATACTTAGATATTATAAACTAGTTTGCCTCCTACCTTGCAATTTGTGGTACAGCATGCCCCTGAACCACATACTTTATCTTTTTTCTTCAAACATGTTCTAGCATCACAGCAGTCTGGATGAGTACACGCCTGTAAACAAATGCTTTGTTACTCAATCATGTATGACCAGGTACAATCCTACAAAAGTGCAATACAGAATTTATTTATGAAGTCTGAGCATGTCCTAAAATCCAGAGCTTCAATAATTCCTTTCTTTATCTGAGACTTACTGAAATCAACATCTCATTCAGTAGTTTGTAAAAGAAATGTCATTTCACTACATTCAATATAATTTGAACAATATTAATACACTACTCTGGGGCCAAAACCTTACAGGAAATAGTTATTCTGTATCTTGTTAGCTATCATTTTCTTATATTATCACTTTCATAATAAATGTTTACATATGGAATGTCTCTGATGTGAAGCTGTCAAACAAAACCTCAAACCTCTGTCCCCTCAAAAGTGGTCCAGAAGCCAGGCTAGTCTATCCAGACCTCTGATTTCACTGGGAGCTGGCCCCATACACATTTGCTTTTTATAAGATTCAGTGTCTTAGATCAATTTTTCCAGTTATTTCAATAACAAGTTTGTTTTAAACTCTGAAATTTACCAATATTAGAAGTTTGAGTTTCCTGCTGAGTTTCCTGTCTTTTTCCTTACTGGTATTTTCAACCAACAGCTTCGCCACAGGCAACAATACTATATTTTTAAAAGGTTATTTATTTCATATATTGACTCATGTATTCCTGGACTGTCAGTTTAAATATACCTTTCTTAACTTTTTTTTCCCCTTACTGTCTCTTTGAACCAAAGGTTTGGTTATTCTTAGTTTGGGGGATTTGTCTTCTTCAACACAAATGTATTTGCAAGGGTAGACTTTCTTCTTTTTAATTGGAAGCTAATTACTTTACCCCCACTCCAGTATTCTTGCCTGGAAAGTCCCATGGACTGAGGATCCTGGTAGGCTACAGTCCATGGGGTCACAAAGAATCAGACATGACTGAGCAACTTCACTTCACAACTACTTTACAATATTCTGGTGTGTTTTGCCATACACTGATATGAATCAGCCATGGGTGTACATGTATCCCCCATCCTGAACCCACCTCCCTCCCCATCCCATCCCTCAGGGTTGTCCCAGTGCACCAGCCCTGAGCACACTGTCTCATGCATCGAACCGGGACTGATGATCTATTTCACACATGGTAATATACATGTTTCAATGCTATTCTCTTAAACCATCCCACCCTCGCCTTCTCCCACAGAGGTCAAAATTCTGTTCTTTATCTCTGTGTCTCTTTTGCTATCTTGAATATAGGGTCATCATTACCATCTTTCTAAATTCCTTATATATGCATTAATATACTATATCAGTGTTTTTCTTTCTGACTTACTTCACTCTGTATAACAGGCTCCAGTTACATTCACCTCTTTATAACTGATTAAATGCATTCTTTTTAATAGCTGGGTAATATTCCATTGTGTATATGTACCACAGCTTTCTTATCCATTCAACTGCCAATGGACATCTAGGTTGCTTCCATGTCCTAGCTATTGTAAACAGTGCTGTGATGAACACTGGGGTACATGTGTCTCTTTCAATTCTGGTTTTGTTGGTGAGTGTGCCTAGCAGTGGGATTGCTGGGTTGTATGGCAGTTCGATTTCCAGTTTTTCAAGGAATCTCCACACTGTTCTCCACAGTGGCTGTACTAGTTTGCATTCCCACCAACAGTGTAAGAAGGTTCCCTTTTCTCTGCACCTTCTCCAGCATTTATTGTTTGTAGACCTTTTGATAGCAGTCATTCTGACCAGCGTGAGATGGCACCTCATTGTGGTTTTGATTTGCATTTTTCTGATAATGAATGATGTTGAGCATTTTTCATGTGTCTGTTAGCCATCTGTATATCTTCTTTGGAGAAATGTCTGTTTATTTTGGCCCATTTTTTTATTGGGTCGTTTAATTTTCTGGTATTGAGCTGCATGAGCTACTTGTATATTTTTTAGATTAATTCTTTGTTAGTTGCTTTGTTTGCTATTATTTTCTCCCATTCTGAAGGCTGTCTTTTCACCTTGCTTATAGTTTCCTTCGTTGTGCAAAAGCTTTTATGTTTAATTAGGTCCCATTTGTTTATTTTTGCTTTTACTTCCATCCCGCTGAGAGGTGGGTCATAGAGGATCCTGCTGTGATTTATGTCGGAGAGTGTTCTGCCTATTTTTTCCTCTAAGAGTTTTATAGTTTCTGGTCTTACATTTAGATCTTTAATCCATTTTTAATTTATTTTTGTGTATGGTGTTAGAAAGTGTTCTAGTTTCATTCTTTTACAAGCGGTTGACCAGTTTTCCCAGCACAACTAGTTAAAAGAGGTTGTCTTTTCTCTATTGTATATTCTTGCCTCCTTTGTCGAAGATAAGGTGTCCATAGGTGTGTGGATTTATCTCCAGGCTTTCTATTCTGTTCCATTAATCTATATTTCCATCTTTGTGCCAGTACCATACTGTTTTGATGACTGTGGCTTTGTAGTATAGTCTGAAGTCAGGCAGGTTGATTCCTCCAGTTCCATTCTTCTTTCTCAACATTGCTTTGGCTATTCGAGGTTTTTTTGTATTTCCATACAAATTATGAAATTATTTGTTCTAGTTCCCTGAAAAATACTGTTGGTAGCTTAATAGGGATTGCCTTGAATCTGTAGATTGCTTTGTATAGTGTACTCATTTTCACTATATTGATTCTTCCAATCCATAAGCATGGTATATTTCTCCATCTACTTGTGTCATCTTTGATTTCTTTCACCAGTGTTTTACAGCTTTCTATATATAGATCTTTTGTTTCTTTAGGTAGACTTATTCCTAAGTATTTTATCCTTTTCATTGCGATGGTGAATGGAATTGCTTCCTTAATTTCTCTTCCCCTTTCTTAAAGAGAGAATGCTCTGGCTATTTCAAAAATTTCCTTTTCCTCTCCTTCTGCCAGAAACATAAGACTTTTCTCCAGCATTCACTGTGAGAACCAGTTCAAGTTTCTGGAGGTAAAACTCATAAACGTGTGAGGGCCTTCCTATGACTGTGTTCCCAAGGAGTTTTAAACTATGAGTTCACATTAAGCCTCCAGAAGTTTGTCAGTTACAGTTTAGGTTTTCCTACTGAGATGTTGGTCCCCAGAAGGTTTTAGTTTATAGGTTACTACTCCAGTAGTTGTGATTCTCGGCATTCACCTGTTGGTTTTTCCAGTTTAGGGGGCAGTTGTTTGCTCTGTGACCTCACTTCTCTGATGGATGTGAGAGCTTTTTACTTGTTGCAAAGACTAAGTAGTGACTTCTAAGCTTCTCACATGTCAGACTAAAAACCATAATTTTTATCTTTCTATGTAATTGAATAAAAGTCCTTTGAATTGGCTTCTGATATACACAGATATATACAGTGCATATATATGTTTGAACACATATGAATTATAAATGTTTTCTCCTATTTCAGACTCTATCATTTTATTTTTCTTAACAGAGCCTGAAAGAAAAAGTTTCTTTCAATAAATTTGATGAAGTACAACTTACATTGTTCTTCTATAAAATCTCATTCTTATTTGCCTTCTCTAAGAATTTTTTGCCTATCACAAAGTCAGAAAGACGGTCTCATATGTTTTATTCTAAAAGCTTTAGGATTTTTGCTTTTTTATACTTAAATATTTGATTCATTTCAGTTAGTTTTTCTGTATGATGAGATATCAACATTTTTTATGTACATTGATTTCTAGTTCATACATTACTTTTGTTAGAAAGATTTTCACCCATTGAACTGCCTCAACATACTGCAGAAAATCAATTAACCATGTAAATGTTTTATATATGGATTCTCTGTATGGTTTCATTAAGGGATATAGTTATGCTTTGGCCAATACCATATTGTCTTATTATAACTTTATAAACAATTTTGAAATTTTCATAAAATATGCTCCATCTTTGTTCTTCTGCTTTGACTGTTTTAGCATCTGCATTTCCAGATACATTGTAGTATTAGCTTGTAAATTTCCACAGAAAGATGGTGGATTTTGGATTGGGATTATGATACAGAGCTGACATTTTAACAAGACTGTATCTCTCACTCCATGAAAGTGGGATACATCTCCATTTCAATCTTTCATTTATCTGAGCAATGAAAGATTTTACTGCACAGCTCTTGCATGTATTCTGTTAAATTTATCTCTATTTAATGTTTTTAAGACAATGTATATGGAATTGCATGTTTTAGTCCATTTTCCATTTGTTTATTGTTTTTACATAGAAATCTATGGAATTTGAGTCCATTTGCATTCATTAATTAGCTTTAGAAGCTTTTGGGAGTAGATTATTTAGGAATCTCTACTCATGTGGCCCAGTATAATTTGACTAAAGACAGTTTTAATCTTTCTTTTCATTCATTGTGAGTTTCTTTGTCTTGCCTTACTGCGATGGCAGAAGCACCCACTGCAGTGTTGAATGGAAACAGGAAGAATGAATCTTTTTGTCTTTCTCCATATATTAGGGAGAAACAATGAGTCTTTCACCAGAAAGTGTGATAATAGTTGCAAGTTTTTGAGAGATGTACTTCATTAGAGTGAGGAGGTTCTCCTCTATTGGTGGAGTGCTGAGAGAGTTTATAATGAATTGCTGCTAAATTTTCTCAAGTTTTTTTCTTCATCTATTCTGTGACTGTGGTAAATTGCATTGAATGCCTTCCAATTATTTTGATGAATATTGCAAGTGCACTTAAAAAGAATGTCTAAATCTAGTTGTCTAATATATTGGCCTATGTTTAGACGCTTTAGTCATGTCTGACTCTTTGCAACCCTGTGGACTATAGCTTGCCAGGATCCTCTGTCCAAGGGATTCTCCAGGCAAGAATACTGGAGTGGAGTTGCCATTTCCTCCTCCTTTATTTATTGGCCTATAAATATCAATTATATTAAGGTGGTAGATAGTACTGTTCAGGTCTTATACATCCTTACTGATTTTTTACCTAGTTCTATAAATTACTGACAGATATGAAATAAACCTCCAAATATGATCATTTATTTGTCACTGTATCCCTTTAGTTCTATCAGTACTTGCTTCAAGATGTCCAAAGATCTAATATATGTGTAAATTATGTTTTTCATATATTTAAGCATACATATATATATACATATGATCATATATACTTATTATTGTTATGTCTTCCTTATACACTTTTATCTTTTTGAAGCATTTGTCAATGTTGATGTCACTGTCTGTTCAGTCACTCAAGTTGTATCCAACTCTTTGCAACCCCATGGACTGCAGCACACCAGGCTCCTCTGTCCTACACTATCTCCTGGAGTTTGCTCAGATTCATGTCCATTGAGTCAGTGATACTATCTAACCATCTCATCCTCCTCTGCCCCCTTCTCCTTTTGCCTTCAATCTTTCTCAGCATCAGGGTCTTTTCCAAGGAGTCAGCTCTTCACATCAGTTGGCCAAAGGATTGGAGCTTCAGCTTCAGCATCAGTACTTCCAGGACTGACTATTCAGGGTTGCTTTTTTTTTAGGATTTGCTGGTTTGATCTCCTTTCAGTTCAAGGGACTCTCAAGAGTCTTCTCCAGAACCACAATGCAAAAGCATCAGTTCTTCTGCACTCAGCCTATTTTATGGTTAAATTTTCAGATTCACACATGACTACTGGAAAACCAGAGCCTTGACTATACAGACATTTGTCAGCAAAGTGATGCCTCTACTTTTTAGTATGCTGTCTAGGCGTTACACATATTTTTTATTTTGTATTTTGCATTTAAAAACTAAATATATTTGGCTGTCTTATATGTACTGTTTTCCAGTTATATTCTTCTCTGCTATTTTACTTTCTACCTTAGAAGGTATTTGGGCTTAAAATACAATCCTTACAAATAGCATGTAATTTGTTTTTCATTTTTATTTAGTCTGACAGTTTCTGCTTTTATTCAGATTTTGGCCTATTTACATTAATTATTAATATGCCTGTATGTCAGTTTATCATTTTGCTGCTTATTTCTTATCTGTCTCATCTTGGTTTTGCTCCATGATTTGATTTATTTTTTGTTCATGAGCTATGATTAGTATTTTATTTTAATTCTTCTATTGGCTTTTTTATATGCCTTTGCATAATGTTTAAATATTTGCTCTAGGATTTACAGTAAGTATTTTTAAAATACTATAATCTATATAGAGTTAATACTGATTTCCTTCAGATAAATTATAGAAACCTTGAACCAGTTTAATTCAACTCTTTCATCTTTAGTGCTATCATGGTTATTATACAGATGCACATACGTAGAGCTCCATACAGACACATATATATTCACATACATGCAGATACATAAATGTGCATATATATACATAAATACATCCATACCCATATATAGTGTGTATATATGTACACAATATACTGTAAAAAGAACTCTTTTGTTATCTTTCTATCTATTGCTCTTCTATCATCTTTCATCTTTGCTTTGGTTTGCTCTTAATTCTATATGTCTTCTGCAAGTGATAGATTTCATTTAAAAATATTTTTAATTGGGATAACCTGTCAACACAAAAACTTTTCTCCCTATAATAGCAAATAATATATTTTCTATTCCAGTGGTAACAGTCTCATCTTTAGATGTTCTTGACTGTTTTTGCTACTGCTTGTTGTTAAAGGCATATTTATTCATCCCCTTATACACTCTTTGAGGTCACTAATTATAGGATTAGAGCTGATGCACAACATACTAAAGAATATAAAAGGGCAAAATTTGAAGACAAATATTAACTTAAAGATGCTTGCTCTCCACTTCAAAAATGGCAAAATGGCAAAATGGAAGCAAAAGGCTTCCATCTGCCCCAAAGAAGACTTTTTTTCAAATATTCTTCTAAAAACTAAGGTATTCTTTACCTTATTTTCCACCTCTCATTCACATGTATGGGAAATAAAATTTGAAAATAATTTCCACTAACCTTTGCAGTGCCACAATCACATTGTTCACCTGTTTCCAATATCCCATTGCCACACATCTTCCTCTGTTTGTAAACTGGCTCATCAGGAAGGATTTTATGAAGACACTCAATGCCAGAATATGCAGCAAAATATTTAAAGTCATCCAAGCTGCAGGTGCTAAAATCCTTTACACCCCCAGATTGTCTAAAATATAAAAACATCAGTATGACAAAAATTATTGCTCTCTCTCTCTCTCTCTCTGTCTATATATATACATTTTTCCCAATATATGATGCTTTGAAGAGAGATTTAGAAAGCAATATTCTCATGGAAAATAATAATCACATATAAAATAATATAAAAGCATTTTTAAAATGCTAAGATGTTTAACACACTTTTAAAATTTCAGCAAGAAAATTCTTGTAATAAAAAAAAAAATCTTTGGCCATCCACCCTGTTTTAAAGAAGAACAATTATTTACCTCTCCAATGATCCTTATTAAATATTTAAACACAGAAACTGTGATATTCTTTATTTAATTCTAGTGTCAAACAACTGCAGTTAAAATTTTTGGCCTCAATATTGAACATATTTTATTTATTTAATATCATTGTTGTATTTTTTATTTAAGTGCCAATATGAACATGTCTGTATTACCTTCAAGAGCATATTTTTTGAGCGCTCTTGCTCTCTGTAATTAAGCATTTTTCAAATAAGAATCTGTTGTTTAATTTATGACATGGGCGGGACAGTGGGGATTATGTCCTGACACAGTGAGAAAGTTGTTACAAGTAGTTTGCTAATATCTTTGCATCCAACTAAAACACTCGAAAGAATATGGTTTAAAAGTAAAGACTATGCCCTAGACAAGTATTTGACAAATGTTTCTGTGAAAGGCCATGTAGTAAATATTATAGGCCTATGTGACATATGCTCTGTTGCAGCTTATGTGACATATGCACTGTTGCAGCTACTCAACCTGCCACTGCAGTGCAAAAGTAGCCGTAAACAACATGTGAAACAAGAAAGCTAAAAAATTTATTCACAAAACAGTCAGGCAGCAAAATTTGGCCTATGGTTCGTTGTTGGCTAACCTCGGTCCTAAACTAGAGTCTTCTCTCCATCGATTGTAACAGTTAGAGCCTAAACTCACGCCTTGGCAAGATCTCCAGACAAGACAAGTTTGGAAGCTCAGCTCTGACATTTTAGGGGCATTTGGGAGCACCCCGAGTTACCTATGGACTCATGTAAGTGAGTCGTGGAATCAGGTACATTAAAGCAGAGGATCCCCACAGACAGAGGAGCCGGGCGGGCGACAGTCCATGGGGTCACCAAGGCCGGACACAACTGAGCGATTAAGCACAGCAAAGCTCACAAAAGAAACTTTCATGCAGATGGAAATGTGGCATAGCCTGATTAACACTGTGATTCGGGGATTTATATCCTCGTATTCACCAAAAGTCATAATTATTATGCTATGTACTGAAACTAACATGATGTGATAAATAATCAATATTTCAAATTTTAAAAATCTCAAAAGTTTTCATAAGAATTGGAAATCCCACAAAAAAAATGTTTAAGAAAATGCAAAGGGCCTAGAATACCCAAAACAATTCTGGAAAAGATGAAAAAACTTGGGGACTTAAACTACCTGATTTCAAAAATTGAATATAAAGCTACAGTAATAAAGATAGCAAGCTTTTCTATAAGGATAAACATACAGGTTAATGACATAAAATAGAGAGTCCAATAAAAATTCACACATTAATGTAAGTTGGTTTTTTACAGTCACCAAGGCAATTAAGTGGGGGAAAGGAAGGTCTTTTCAACAAGTGCTATTGGAATGACTGGAAATCCATAGAGCAAAAATTAAAATAAAGTTAAACACATACACAATAATCAACTTGAAATGTATTGCAAAACTGAATATAAGAGTTATAAAACCACAATGCATAAAGAAAAAATTGACTAACTGTATTTCACCAAAATTAAAAACGTTATCTTAAAAATGGTACCCTAAGGATAAAATACTCAGAAATCATATATCTGGCAAAGAACTAATAGCCAGAACATATAAAATCTAAGTTATTTTTTTAATAGATGTTTAAATAGGCTCTTCAAATAAGATATAAAGCACAAAGCTATAAAGCATGAAAATATGTTCAACATCATTAGCTTCCCCGAAAATTCAGATTAAAACCAATATGAGGTAACTTTACATCCACAGAATAATTCAGATTAAACAAACTGAGCATACTAAGTCTTGGTAGTCATATGGCTCAACCAGGAGTGGCTACATGATTTGCAGGAACCAATGCAAAATGGAAATGCAGGACCCCTTAAATGATATTAATTTTAAGAAAAAAAAAAAAAGCTTTTTCCTTTTTTCAGTAGTCTCTCTCAGTGAGGCATAGTTACTTATTTGCAACTTAATGTCTTTCTAAATTAAAAAAAAAAATTGTTCACATGGATTGCACTATCCATCCTTACATTGTATAATACAAATATTAAAGCATTTGATTTCATGCAAATCACTGAAGTTACACAATTCACATGTTGTGCCCCAGAGGGTACCTTCAATCTAGCCAACAGATAAAAACTTAAGTCAGACTCTGGAAGGTAGGAAGGAGAAAGAGAAATGTCCTGAGGCATAGAGAGGTGTGGGGATTTGGGACTATTTTGGTGTATGTTCCATCTGTACTTGAAAAGGATGTGTATCCTAAAGTTGGGTATAGTTCTCTATAACTATCAATTAATTCAGTTTGATTAATAGAAACATAAAGTTCCTAACCCCCCCAAAAAATTTAAGTAGTGTGTATTTAATAAAGAAAATTGCCTTACAAAGCTTCTGGAGACATTGTGCAAACATCCCCTGAACAATGGCAGATCTCAGTATTATCATAACTCATTCCCACATTAAGGCCAAGCAACTGCACGATACTGACAGCATATGACTCCAACGATAAACCCACTAAATACTAAATATAAGGGAAATAAAAGAAAATTAGTTAGCTAAGGATCATATTCAGTTATAAAAAATTATGTACTTAATCAAAAATTAATATATAAAATTCATTAATGCAGCCAAGATACTTATGCAGATACATATATAAGAGAGTTATACAAGTATTATTAAACATGGATGGATGAGTAACAAAACACTTTCATTTCAAGATACTATTAATTGACAATACCAGCTATCTTAGCAAATAAAATAGGGCTTAACCACCACTAGGCATTACTTCTTTGAACTACTCTAAACAAAATGCTATTATAATATTTTAATAATCAATCCTACATTTTCCTTATAGTAAACAGTCTTTAAAATAGGTCCCAATGATATTTATGTCCCTATGTATTCCCATTCCAGTGAGTATAGGCTAGACTTCCTGACTTGATTCTAATTAATTTAATATAGCAGAAGTGACAGGTCGTCATTTCCAGTCATTCAGTCAGTCAATTCAGTCGCTGAATTGTCCGACTCTTTGTGACCCCACAGACTGTAGCACACCAAGTCTCCTTATCCATCACCAACTCCCAGAGCTTGCTCAAACTCAGGTCCATCAAGTCGGTAATGCCATCCAACCATCTCATCCTCTGTCATCCCCTTCTCCTCCTGCCTTCAATCTTTCCCAGAATCAGGGTCTTTTCCAATGAGTCAGTTCTTCACATCAGGTGGCCAAAGTATTGGAGTTTCAGCTTCAACATCAAACCTTCCAGTGAATTTTCAGGACTGATTTCCTTTAGGATGGACTGGTTTGATCTCCTTGCAGCCCAAGGGACTCGCAAGAGTCTTCTCCAACACCACAGTTCAAACGCATCAATTCTTCGGCGCTTAGCTTTCTTTATCGTCCAACTCTCACATCCATACATGACTACTGGAAAAAACCATAGCTTTGACTAGACGGACCTTTGTTGGCAAAGTAATTTCTCTACTTTTTAATATTCTGTCTGGGTTGGTCATAGTTTTTCTTCCAAGGAGCAAGGATCTTTTAATTTCATGGGTGCAGTCACCATCTGCAGTGATTTTGGAGCCCAAGGAAACAAAGTCTGTCACTGTTTCCACTGTTTTCCCATCTCTTTCCCCATGAAGTGATGGGACTGGATGCCATGATCTTAGTTTTCTGAGTGTTGAGTTTTAAGCCAGCTTTTTCACTCTCCTCTTTCACTTTCATCAAGAGACTCTTAAGTTCTTCTTCGCTTTCTGCCATAAGGGTGGTGTCATCTGCGTATCTGAGGTTATTGATATTTCTCCCAGCAATCTGGATTCCAGCTTGTGCTTCATCCAACCTGGCATTTTGCATGATGTACTCTGCATATAAGTTAAATAATCAAGGTGACAATATACAGCCTTGATGTACTCCTTTCCTGATTTCGAACCAGTCTGTTGTTCCATGTCCAGTCCTAACTGTTGCTTCTTTATCTGCATACATATTTCTCAGGAGGCAGTTAAGGTGGTCTGGTATTCCCATCTCTTTCAGAATTTTCCAGTTTGTTGTGATCCACACAATCAAAGGCTTTGGTGTAGTCAATAAAGCAGAAGTCATAAGTAGTCAACAAATCATTTCTAAGAAAAGTAATATAAAAAACCGACATCTTGGATCCTATGTCTTTCTCTCTCATTCACCCTGGGGGAAGACAGCTATTGTATCATGAAGTAGACCTGTGGAGAGGCCCTCAGAAGTGAGCTGGGAAATATTTTCTGAGTTCTTCCAACAGCCACATGATAGCGCTTAAAAGCAAATTCCCTCTGTGTTGAACCTTGAGAGTATCATAACTAGCATCTTAATTTCACCCACTAAACTGTTCCTAGATTCCTGATCCACAGAACTATGTTGTTTCCATGTGATACGGTTTGGTACAACCAGTTACATAGCAATAGGATAAATAACTAATTAGTTATCTGCAGTGACAGATAACTAAAACATCCTCAGTAGGCATGGTTATTTTCTTTTGGGTCATTCCCAATATCTGTATAGATGTTTACAGCAGCTCTATTCATAACTTCCAAGACTTCTAAGCATTCCTGATGTCCTTTAGTAAGTGAATAGATAAACTGTGGCATGTTTCAGACAATGGAATATTATTCAGCCCTAAAAAGAAATGAGCTGCAAGGTCATGAAAAGACAAGGAAGAAATTTAAGTGCATACTACTAAATGAAAGAAGCCAACCTGCAAAGACTATATACTGTATGATTCCAACTATATGACATTCTGGGGGAAAGAAATAGAAGATCCATGGTTGCAGGTGGGGGGGAGAAATTAACTGGCAGAGCACAGAGGATTTTTAAGGCAGTGAAAATACTGTGTATGATAGCATAATGATGGATACATGTAATTATCTGACCAAATCCATAGAATGTAGAACACCAGGATTGAACCCCAAGGCAAATATGAACTCTGGCTGATTTTAATGGGTCAGTGTATGTTTACCAATTGTGAGAAGTATACCACCCTGGTGAGTGATGCTGATACCAAAGAAGGCTGTGCATGTGCAGGTGAAAGGAATACATGGACTTCCATCTCAATGGTGCTGTGAACCTAAAACTGCTCTAAAAATAGTATTCTTAAAAAGTTATTGGGTTCTTGATGCATCAAGAGCAAGGTGGCATTGTGAGGGAATGGCAAGAACAGTTCAGAGAAGAAGATGTACATGTCCATCCCAAACTCCCTAACTATCCCTTCTCCTCACCTTGCCCCCCAAATCTGTTACCATAAATTCATTCTCTAAGCCTGTCTTTTTCTGTTTCATAAATAAGTTCATTTGTGTCATTTCCTTTTAGATTCTCCATATAAGGGATGCCAAATGATATTTCTATTTCTCTTATTTCACTCAGTATGACACTCTCTAGGTCCCCAGGTTTTTTGTTTTTGTTTTTTTTTTGTTTGTTTGTTTGGCTCCCAGGTTTTGATCAAAAGCAGTTCTTAGGACAAAACAGAAACCCTTGACAGGAAACACTTTATTCTCTTCAAAGTTACAGACATCATTAATGGTAACCAAGGAAAAGAAAAATACTAACCAAGGAACACACTTTATTTATCAGAAGACATAACTCTGATCACTTGGAAAAGGCATTCAATAAAACTTTTATGTCTGCATAGGGTCCAGATCAGTGGTTTAATTGAGAGACATAATGGTTTCTTCAAACAATTCTTTTTCAAATTCTGGTCCATCAAACTGACCCCTAAATGGGTATCTACATGGCCCAAGCTCTTAATCTCTCTTAATTCAAGGATCTTTGTCTGACTCACACCACACAAACTTTAAAACATTTTTCCATCTCCCTTCCCTATATTTAAAGGGGGTTAGGTCTCGTCTTCATGTATATAAAGACTCACTGGTAAGTCCCTTTAATTATGTCTCCTCTCCTGCTGGAAACTTTTTATCTTGCCCCAACCCATAAGGGTTGGAGACCAGATCCAGATACATATTCTTCTGAGTTCTATTAACCACAGATTTCCTCATGGTCTAAGCAGTTGCTAACCTGCTATGAGATCCATTTGAGCCTGAACTTTCATTACCACAAAAACAAACAAATGAAGAACAAAAGCCCCTCAAGTGCAGCTATACAACATTCTTGACTGTTCATCTCATTACTGTTGGTCTCAATATCTTCACTGGTTTACAATCTGGAGGCTCAAATCCTTCAAGTAATCCATTTTTCCAACCAGACATGGCAAATGCTGAGGCCCACATACCTTCAAGTTTGGCTAATACAAACCTTACAAACCAAAGACTTCACCAGCTTGCCTCTCATCAACCAAACCAACAACTGAGGCAAAAGGCCCATACTGACTGGCCAAATTAGGATGTCTGCCTTCAGCATGATTATGGAGCCCTAAACACAGATATAAATATTTCAAATGGCAAAGAACCTGACTTTCTCTTAAAACATACACCAAAATCAGGTCATATAATTTAAAACCTATTTATAACAGAACTCTTGCCATCATCTAAAAGGACAAAACCTTAGACTGTTGAACACTTTTAGATCAAGCCACACGTAACTGGGGCTGTGCCAGCCAGGCTCTCTGCAGAGGTGCCATCACTTTTGCTTGCTGTGTATCCATAAGCCCCTTGAGTTAGCAGATGTTTATAAGTCAAAGTCACAGGCCCAGCATTGCCTTCAAATGACACAAGGCCTTTAGCATCATTTTAATACCACAGAGCCACGAAAATAAAATGTGCGTTGACTCAAGTCAGTATCACCTTTAAAAGGATATCCTAGTTCTACACCCCCAAACAACATTGCGCTGGTCCAGGATCTCACTGCTAGAGAGAGTATCACCTCAAATGATATCATTCCAGCCTAAGACCTGCCTGTTAGAGATGACTCTGCATCCTGCATGGAGACCACTTCTCCGCAGACACTAAAACTAGCACCCCAGGCATGCCCAGGGACTGCCGCTCCCAAAGTGCAAATGGCACACAGGTCATGTAATGGTTTTCTTACTTTGATATTAGGGGCTCTATTGCATTTCCTGAGCTTGCTCTCTTTATAGCCCATGACAAAGGTATACTTATCTGTTTTCTATCAAAGCATATATCCCTACACTCCATGTCTAAACGAAAATCTGTGCTATTCTAAAAACTGGTGGAGGTTATTGCTTTCCCTAGGAATCACCTGCCCTGTATCAGTGAACCCCCTTGACCCTAAGGAGAGAGCACGCACTCTCCAGTGCCTTCTCCTACTACTTTCTCTAGTTTTCTACCACTGTACAACCTCCCACCCTACGTCCCTGACCATGACCACCACAACCACCGCTTCCCTTTGAATACATACAAAAACCATGAATCTTTATATGTACTTTACCAAACTAATCTACTGACACTCTCCGACAGCATAAATTGCCTGACTGACTTGCCACTTTTACTACCCAAATACACCAGGATATCACTGTCCAAAAAAACACATACAATTTTTAATACAATTTATAACTGCACAAACACTGTTAGAGACTCTAGAAATTTCAGATATATTTCTTTTGCTAACCTCATACAAATGGGAAATTTAGTTACAGGTTGGCCTACAAGAAATCCTTACACTTCTACTTGTGTTTCTCCTTTTAACTCTCATAATAAAATGTTTTCTATGCTGTTTAGCAAAACTTATGCCCTAAGCTCTAAAAGTCTCTTCTGTTATGTCAAAAGTTTGATAACATTTCAAAGCACAATAGGACTAACTTTATTAATATCACATTTTCTGTATTCTGATGCTTTCATATCTAGGACCCTACCAACTTGGAGGACTGCCCCTCTTAAGAGTTCAATTGCTTCACAAAGTAGACAGCTCACCTACAAATGCACCATTCATACACAAACCAGTCAATCCAGAGCCCATATAACTTAGCATCCACTTTATCAGACTCACATACATCAGCCTGTTATCCACCTGCCAAGGTCACACCAGGGCTAGGTACCAGACAACTAAGGACAGCCTCTATGCCTCATGGCCTGTTGAAACTAGCCAACTGGAGTCCTGTTTAACCTCTCCTGTTTCTTCCCAATGAAACCATAAGAGGCTCTTGACCACATTTCCCTCTGCTTCCTATGCTTCTTGGTCAAACCTGGTGCTTCTTTATGTGGCCTCTGAAGGCTGTAGCATATTTTTTGTTTCTAGGGAACTGTAAGTACGGTAAACTTCTGGATGACAGCCATTCTCATATCTGCATGTATTTCCATGCCTAATGAAAACATATCCCAGGTAACCCTGAAAATTTTTCAAAGTAGATTAGCTTGTTCTTTACTTAAGTTAGTTTAGTGTAGTTAATTCAAACTACATTACAATAAAAGTACTTGTAAATGTATATATTATAAATTCTGTGGTGTCTGCTTAAATTTTTTAATGTTATAACTAATCTAGAAAGGAGAGAAAATGAAGTGATATAAAATGTGCAGTTAAAATCACAGAAGGGAAAAAAAAGAAAATGGAAGATTTTAAAAAAAAACAGGGAACAAGGATAATGAATAGAAAATAGATGAAAGTCAACATCCATTTATGATTTTTAAGAACTCTCAACAAAGTGGGTATGAAGGTAACATATAGCAATAAAGGCCACATCCAACAAGCCCACACATAACATCACATTCACTGTTAAAAAGATGAAAAGTTTTTCCTCTAAGAACAAGAATAAGACAAAAACACTCACTATCGCCACTTTTATACAGCATAGTATGGAAGTCCTAGCCAGGGCAATGAGACAAGGAAAAAAAAGACATCCAAAATGGGAAAACAAGAAGTAAAACTGTCACTATTGCCAAATTACAAGATATTATACATAGAAAATCCTAAAACTACACATACACACACACACACACACACACACAAATCCTGTTAGAACTAATACATTAATTCAGTTGAGTTTCTAGGCACAGTCAATATAAGAAACTCTGTTGTGTTTCTAGACATTAATAATACACAATCAGTAAAAGAAATTAAACAAACACTCCCATTTACAACTGTATTAAAAAGAACAAAATATAATCAAAGATATGAATTATACACTGAAAACTGTAAGACAATGAGGAAAGAAACTGAGAAAGATACAAATAAATGAAAAGATATTCCATGTTCATGGAATTAATATTGTTAAGAATTAATATTGTTAAAATGTCCATTTTACCCAAGGCCATCTACAGGTTCAGTGCAACCTATATCAAAATTCTAATGGCAATTTTCACCAAAATAAAACAATCCTAAAATTTGAATGACAGACAAATGACCCCAAATAGTTGAAGAAATCTTGAGAACAAAGAATAAAGCTGGAGGTATCATGTTTCCTGATTTCAAACTATATTACAAAGCTGTAGTAATCAAAACAGTATTAAATTCTGTAACTATTTGTGGTGATAGATATTAACTAGATTTTTGTGGTGATCATTTTGCAATATATACAAATAACAAATCACTAAGTTTTACATCTGAAACTAATATAATATATGCCAATTAAGCCTGAATAAGACATTTAAACAATATGGTACTGGCACAAAGGCAGACACAAAGATCAACAGAATAAAGTATAGAGTCCCTTAGACTGCAAGGAAATCAAAGCAGTCAATCTTAAAGGAAATCAATCCTGAATATTCATTGGAATGAATATTGGACTGATATATTGGAATGAATATTGGACTGATGCTGAAGCTGAAACTCCAATACTCTGGCCACCTGACGCAAAGGGCCGACTCATTAGAAAAGACCTGATGCTGGGAAAGATTGAAGGCAGGAGAAGGGGACGACAGAGGATGAGATGGTTGGATGGCATCACCAAGTCAATGGACATGAGTTTGAGCAAGCTCCAGGAGATGGTGAAGGACAGGGAAGCCTGGCGTGCTGCAGTCCATAAGGTCGCAAAGAGTTGGACATGGCTGAGCAACTGACAACAACCACTGCATCAAAAATAATAAAATACTTAGCAATAAACCCACCTAAAGAGACAAAAGACCTGTACTCAGAAGACTAAAAATGCTCAGAAAAGAAATCAAAGATGACATAAACAGATGAAAAGATATAACATGCTCTTGGATTGGAATACTCAATACTGTCAAATGATTATAATACCCAAGGCAGTCTACAGATTTGATACAATTGTTATGAAATTACCAACAGTATTTTCCACAGGACTATAATAAAAAGTTCTCAAGCTGGAATCAAGATTGCCGGGAGAAATATCAATAACCTCAGATATGCAGATGACACCACCCTGATGGCAGAAAGTGAAGAGGAACTAAAAAGCCTCTTGATGAAAGTGAAAGAGGAGAGTGAAAAAGTTGGCTTAAAGCTCAACATTCAGAAAACTAAGATCATGGCATCTGGTCCCATCACTTCATGGCAAATAGATGGGGAAACAGTGGAAGCAGTGTCAGACTTTATTTTTGGGGGCTGCAAAATCACTGCAGATGGTGATTGCAGCCATGAAATTAGAAGACGCTTACTCCTTGGAAGGAAAGTTATGACCAACCTAGATAGCATATTAAAAAGCGGAGACATTACTTTGCCAACAAATGCCCGTCTAGCCAAGGCTATGGTTTTTCCAGTGGTCATGTATGGATGTGAGAGCTGGACTATAAAGAAAGCTGAGTGCCGAAGAATTGATGCTTTTGAACTGTGGTGTTGGAGAAGACTCTTGAGACTCCCTTGGACTGCAAGGAGATCCAACCAGTCCATCCTAAAGGAGATCAGTCCTGGGTGTTTACTGGAAGGACTGACGCTGAAGCTGAAACTCCATACTTTGGCCACCTCATGCGAAGAATTGACTCATTGGAGAAGACTCTGATGCTGGGAGGGATTGGGGGCAGGAGGAGAAGGGGACGACAGAGGATGAGATGGTTGGATGGCAACACCGACTCGATGGACGTGAGTTTGGGTAAACTCCGGGAGTTGGTGATGGACGGCGAGGCCTGGCGTGCAGCGATTCATGGGGTCGCAACGAGTTGGACATGGCTGAGAGACTGAACTGAACTGATAATAAAAAATTATACAATTTCTATGGAAATACAAAGCACCCTGAATAGCCAAAGCAATCTTGAGAAAGAAAAGATGGAGTTGCAGGAATCAGGCTCCCTGACTTCATACTAGAGTAAAAAAAAAAAAGCTATAGTTGTCAGAATAGTATGGCGCTGGCACAAAAACAGAAATATTGGCCTTTCCTCAGGCTTTGGGTGAAAGGAGACCAAGAGCAAAGATTGAGAATAAAACCAAATTCCTGGGAAATACCTGATTCTTCTTTAGCTATGGTAATAAATAAGCTTCAGAACTGGCTTTAGATTTATCTAATCAATCAATATGTCTTTTATAATTGTGGTAGCAAGTACATGCCAGTACAGATTTAAATCTGTCTGTTCTGTGGATGGCAGTTTGAATCACTGTACACACTACTAAAAGTCAACTAAATATATAAGTGGGTCAGTATAAAAGTCACAGTGTAGCCTTATTTTTCTGGACCACTGTAATTAGCTCCCTTTGCTACTTTTTATATAGCTTGCTGTAAAAGGGATAAAACTCAGTAGAAAACAACAGATTATGAATATCTGATGACTGTTCCTTCCAGCAACAGCCTGCTTCCTGTTAAACACATAACAAAGAATTGAATACAGTAATAAAAGTTACCCTGAAACAGAAAAATAATCTATGCCACTTAATTTTAAAAAGCACATGAATGTATATGAATTATTAATTTTGAAGAAAATGATTTTTTTGCTATTTTGCTATTTATTTGATATTTCTTTCTAGTGATGTTTCTGGTCATTAATTTTGAGGAAACTATGTTTAATAATTAATATTAAAATAGCATTGATTCTATAATAAATATTGATGCAAGCATACCACTGCTCAAAACTATTAAACAGACTTACAAAGGCCAAATGCTTTTTGAAACAATAAATTATAATCTGTTCAGTTTATAAATATTCTTATTTTTAAAGAAATTATATACAGTTTAATTTTAATTATGATCCTAATTAGTAATAATAATACTATTGAAGGATGAACAAACTTAGCAATATATATACTCATGCCTTGAAATATTTAGGAAATTTTGGAACATGAGAATAATCAGAGCAAACTTGTTCGTAATTACGTACCAGAGCAACTCCTCCAGTAGCAATCTTACCACATATTTCTCCAGGAACTGTGACTCCTATAAAAGTAGGATTTTCCTTGAAGCTAAAAAATAACAATTTTCTTTATAATTACCTTTCAATAGCATTATTAATAATTTTCACAGCAGCAAACATTATTTAACAAATATGATATCCTAACTACAATGCTACACTAAATTTTACTTTTTGAATATATTTTTCTCAAACTTTTAATGATAAGAATGTTTCAATACATATCTGTAAACACTCAATCTGATAAATATCCAGAATAATAAGAAGTATGAGGCATGATAATTTATGCAAAATGCCATTGACTAATGCTTATAATTTTATTCAGGTTCCCTCTACATTTATGACCCTAAAAATTCAATTTTCTGTGACCTCCTCATTTATCTTTTCACTAAGCATATTATTAAGCATATTACTATTACTAAGCATAAATAGGTTTTCTCTGCATTAGAATCTAGATATTCATGTGATTAGAAAATAAAATCACAAAAATTAATCAGATGAGAGAAAAGAATGTAGAGATAACAGGTGGTAAAAGTTTATAAGCCAAGAGAAGTAAAAAAAAAAAAGTGTCACTCATAATTAACCTCCTTTAGTTATTTCAATACTTTTATGTAACTACTTTTTTCAGGTAATTTTATGTCAGTTGATAGAAGTTTAAGTATTATCTCATATTAGCTACTTGAGGACAAATATTTTAACCTGCATTTTTTCCTCATCCCATGGTGTCTACCAAATTTACAGAACTCAGTATACATTAAGTAAATGCTTATTTTTCATAATTAATATATAAAATCACTTGAGGTTATTTATTTATAGAAATATGTGATACTATACTCACGCAAATAAGTATGCAGTATGATGAGGTCGGGAGGCAAATTTATACTTCCAGTCTAAAAATTTATATAAAACATTATAAGGAGGTCCTTCAGTAGAAATTTTATTTTTATCTGACCAAATCTCTATGGAAGATATTCTAACAGTAAGTTTTAACTGGATAAACATCTAAATGGAGAAAATAAATGAAAATTTTTATATAAATTTGAACATTGTATTAAATTTTTGTAAAGGTATATTTAAGACATTTAATTCAGTATTTTGAATTTGGAAACTCTTCAAAAGTATGGCAAAATATTACATACATCAATTCATATTACTTATATTTTTACAAAATAAAATTTTAAAATATTTTAAAAAACTTACGGTGTTAACAAGGCCAATGATCTGAATAATCTTCTGTGTTACAGTGTTTATATCAGAGCCCATGTAATCAAACTGAAAAAGATACATTATCATTTAAAAATAATGGATACTATTAATATACCACACATGTACAATATGCTATATATACTAAAGTAGCCAGAAGGTTACATTCCAACTGAAATCCATGAAATGCTTATTTATATTTATATAAGTAAATTTAATAGTACTTTGCATATGCATGGATAATACTTTGAATAGGTTAATTAAATCTGTTATTTACATAATAGATGACTAAAAATGTATAATAACATGATTTTTTTATTTTAATTGGAGGCTAATTACTTTACAATATTGTAGTGGTTTTTGCCATACATTGACATGAATCAGCCATGGGTTTACATGTGTTCCCATGTAAATAATGTTTTAAATAATGTCTGATGCACTTAACTTGTGGCATTATTTACTGTTCATGAAAATTGAATCATAAAAGTTTTTGTGTTATTTCATAATGTACTTATTTCTAAAATAATACATATAATCATGAACTAAAAAATGTATGCATAAGGAGGGAAAATCTTTAATAAAAAGTTTACTATTAAAGTGATCATGGATACTGTTAGGATACATCCTCTGACATCACCATGTAACTTGTATTTTTAATGCTTCTTTATTCCAATCAGCTCTTTCTATGTCTAACTGCTTAAAAATGCCAGGAAAATGTTAAAAAACAATGGTGATATCAGAAATGTGAGCTTTGTTCATGATTTTTCACTGGAAATCCTCAAATAGTTCATCATTAAATGGTGTCCAGCTTAAGATGGATATTTTAGATTATGTTGAGAAACACTTATAAACATTCCCATTTGTAAAACTTATTGAAAATAAAGTTGAATTTCTATACAAAGCCTTTATGAAGCATACCAAAATAATAATCATTTTTGTCTTCTGACGTATTGAAGCAATACACTTCATCATTACTTAATATTAAGCCATCATTATATTCCTTGAATAAAAATTACATTTTATTAATATACTAGCAAAGTTAATATAATATTTTGTTTAGAAGTTTGTAGCTTTCAGAAATACGGCCTTATGGGTCATGTGTGTATGCATGCATACTTTATCAGAGTTGAGCAAATGAATGTTGCTTACTATATATTAAAGCACTAACTAAAATTAAGTTGCTTGTTGTTTCTACACTCTAGAATTATATTAGCTTATGAATTATATTTTCCTGAAACATTTTTTTAAAACTCTCCTCTAAAATTATCTATATTTAACACTTGCAATTGATCCATTCAGATTCTTATATTTTCATTTTCTTGAAATATAATTGACATATGCATGCGTGTGTACTAAGTTGCTTCAGTCGTGTCCGACTCTTTGTAACCCTATGGACTGCAGCCCTCCAGCCTCCTCAGTCCATGGGATTCTCCAAGCAAGGAAACTGGAGTGGGTTGCCAGTGCCCTCCTCCAGATCTTCCCAACCGAGGGATCGAACCTGTGTCTCTGATGTCTCCTGTATTGGCAGGCGGGTTCTTTACCCCTAGCACCACCTGGGTTTGACTGTGTTAAGATGTACAATGAAAGTGAAGTGAAAGTGAAAATCGCTCAGTCGTGTCCAACTCTGCGACTGACAGTCAATTCCTAGGCTAGTTGATAAGAAGTCCCGGGTCCCTGAGGAGGAGATGGGGTCTGGAATTCTCAAGGAGGAGGAAAGGACAAACATCTTTTTTTCTCTACATTCCTTAGTCTTAGTTACATAAAACATTTTTTTCTTTAAGCCTGATGATTACACACCAAACAACTCAGTTTAAACTCTGTACTAAGGATTGTATAACAACAGTGTATCCAGCTTGAGGACAGTTTCTCCTTCCTGAAAACCTTCTGGCTAATCCTGTTATCTTAAAATGTAAATTATGGGAGTGTGTGTAGTAAGATCTTTACAACCGTGAGACATTCTTCTGATTTATTGTAATAACTAATTTAAAAAGTATGTAACTCCCTCGGTAGCACTAGCGAGGGGGGCACTACCTTCTGATGTCTGTGTCAGAAGCTTTCTCTGTCCCTTTTTCACTTTAATAAAACTCTGCTACACAAAAGCTCTTGAGTGATAAAGCTTAGTCACTGGTCCCAAAGCTAAATCTTCTTTGGAGGTCACGAATCCGACATCGTTCACCGTAAGCTATCAAAACCCCATGGACTATACGGTCCATGGAATTCTCCAGGCCAGAATACCAGAGTGGGTAGTCTTTCCCTTCTCCAGGGGATCTTCCCAATCCAGGGATCGAACCCACGTCTCCCACTTTGCAGGTGGGTTCTTTACCAGCTGAGCCACAAGGGAAGCCCAAGAATACTGGAGTGGGTAGCCTATCCCTTCTCCAGCAGATCAACCCGACCCAGGAGTTGAAAAGGGGTCTCCTGCTTTGCAGGCGGATTCTTTACCATCTGAACTATCAGGATGTACAATATGAAGATTTAAATTCTTATCTCCGTTGGAGAATTTGTGAAATTTGCATTTGTTTGTTTTAATCTCCCCCAAGGCCACAGTTATACCATCTTAATCCTTTTTAATACCATAACATGTTTTGTCTTTTCGCTTAATTACACTTTCTGCCTATTCATCTTTTCAATAACTTCAAAAAACTTTAAAACTTCAAACTGAAAGCTTCATTCAAATTTTTTCATTCTTATTTTTCTAATAGAAGTTATTTAAGAATATGGATTTCCTCACTGTTTAGCTTTGACGCTATCCTCTGTGACAGGCATCATCCCTGTTTACCAATATTCAGTTCTCTTTTAACTCAAATTGTTGTTCAGTCACCCAGTCATGTCCACCTCTTTGCAACCTCACAGACTGCAGCACACCACGTTTACCTGTCCCTCACCATCTTTCAAAATTTGCCCAATTTCATATTCATTTTGGCTAAGATCAAGTGTAGTATCTAATTCAAGAACCCTTCTTTTAAAGGCAAGCACAGCCAGCCGATTCACTTTGGCCAAGACAATGAGGGCAAAAGTGATGCATGTCACTTCCAAGAAGCATTTCCTTAATGTAGCTCACATCTCTCTAATCAGCACTTCTATGGGTTTGGCAATTGGAAAAGAAACAATCAATCTAGAAATGCCAAAATATCTAAGCACTCTCTAGTACTGAGCCAACACATGGAAAACTGCTGTCCTGGAGAGTCACCCAGAAGCATGGTTGACACGGATTGAATGAATGAAAATTAAACTATGGTTAGCCATTAAGATTTGGAGGATATTTTTTACCATAGCACAACTTAGTCTCTTTCAATTAATACATATCCTCCAAATTTTTAAAATATTATATGTGCTAAGTTGCTTCAGTTGTGTCCAACTCTGAAACCCCATGGACTGTAGTCCACCAGGTTTGTCTGTCCATAGGATTCTGCAGGCAGGAATACTGGAGTGGGTTGCCATTTCCTTCTCCAGGAGATATTCCCAACCCAGGGATCAAACTTGGGTCTCCTGCATTACAGGCAGATTATTTACTGAACCACCAGTAAAGCCCACAACATTAAATATCTAATAACTATAGTTTTTCTTCTCTGCCTTGAAAAATTACTCAAAATTGTATTTAATTTTTAAGTTGTATTAATTTTCCCTTACCTCTTTATTCTCTGTTGTTCTAATATATTATGATAGTTTTTGCAAAATTGGTTTTTACTTTTATAAAACTATTGGTGTTTTCCTTGTGACCAAGAGGTGACTACATTTGCATGTATTTTCTATATATAATCTATAGACATTTCAGTGTATGTTTTTGGTATCCATTAATGGACTTCCCAGGTAGCACTAAAGAACCCACCTGTCAATACAAGAGATGTAAGAAATGCAGGTTTGATCTCTGGGTCAGGATGATCCCCTGGAGGAGGGCATGGCACCCCACTCCAGTATTCTGCCTGGAGAATCCCACGGACAAAGGAAATTGGCGGGCTACAATCCATGGGCTCACAAAGAGTTGGATATGACTGAAGAAACTTAGCATGCATGCACAGTACCCATTCATAAACTAAAAAGGTCAGTAAGTGTTTAGTAAAGCAAGCTGATAAATAATTTGATCTTTATATGTTAAAATTTATTTCCTGTCTATCTGTTAAAGCCTAACACACACACAACACATGCACGCATTCTTTAGTTTTTCTTAGATTCTTCTGACTACTATCAGAGGTTTTATTTTTATACTTTCATCATAATTTACTCATTACTAAATGCTCATTATTAGAAAATCATCTTTAATTTGAATTGTAACATTCAATATAAAATATTTCTTTCATTCTCCTACTTGCACTGTTCTATCCCAAACTTTATCTGTTAGTAATATCATCTGGATTTTCTTTTTTTAACAGCTAATCTTGACACTTTTGATAGTCTTTTAAAAAATATTTTATACCTAATAGTGCTACTTTTAAACTCTCACAAATGTCATCTAAATTGAGATTCTTTGCACATTAATGGAAATATTTAATCCATTCCATTATTGTAATAAATGAAGCTGATTTATAGCTTTCTATTTTTCCTGTTCATGCCCGCATGGTATTTCCTTTTGATTTTTGCTATAAGATATTTTAAGCAGATAGGTTCTATATGATTTCAAGGTTATACCTTCAGTATTTTATGTTCCGATAGTTTAAATATTGAACAACTGGATTCACCTACACAAAAAAGGCCTCAATTGCTTATAAGGTGACAATCAAAATTTTTGAGGATTCACCAGAGTTCTTTTTTCCAAAATGCATATAACTCTTACTAGGAAGATACTGAATATGGTTATGTAAATAAGGTAGTACCACTTTCTGCTAACTGATAATGCATATATTGCATTCTTCTTTCTGTATGACATAGTGATAAAGTTGGTATACAGTTTTTTGAAGTATGTGTTTTTTAGTGTTACCCAACTCAAAATTTTAGATCAAATTTATTGAGATATGATTTATATACAATTAAATTCTCCTATTTTGGTGTTGTTCAGTCACTAAGCTGTGATGACTCTTTGCTACCTTATGGACTGCAGCACTCCAGGCTTCCTTGTCCTTCACTATCTCCTG